CACGGTTCTATTCTATTCTAATCGTCCACTTACTTTTCTAAGTAGCATTCTTAGTTTTTCCAGCTCTGTCATACTCTGAAAAGCTTTCAGGCTGAGATACACATCAGCGCAGCTCTGGAATAAACACACAGATAAAAACATTCTAATCCAACTATTAGCCCTCCATTAATCTGGGGTATAAAAAAAACCATCAGCAGCTTACAGTGGTCAATAACAAGTCATTCGTCACTCATTTTTGTCACTATGACTGTTCAAGTAAAACAAGCGGGTAAAACACTGTACTTTCTATCAGCATAACCCGCACCCAAGTGCTGAATGCCCAGAGAAAATTGCAGAACCGAACAGTATGTCCTAATTCCCTACACTAAGCTGATGAGGGTCAAATTAAATATGACTTTCAATGTCTAATTTCTGCTCCTTACCAGTATATATGTGGATTTGTAATGTTTGAAGAAGGCATATTGCACACGTATTGAAGCCATTGCAAAGCACAATTTGTGTGAAACGAAATGATTAAAAGAAACTTGATTTATTGTGACTCTACTTATTTCATAAAGTTTCACTAATGTTTGACTTCGGTAATTCACTAACTTTCAATGAGAAAGCAGAAAGAACTTACGTCGTAAACCAGTGCTTCAAGTGTAACAAGGTCATCATGAAGATCTTCAAGTCCCTGAATAAATAAATATAGCGCAAGTTAACACCAAAAAAGACTCCCTTTGTGCTACATGTACATTTGCCCCAAACAATTTGGACTGAAAACTGTTGACGTTAAGCAATGATTACCTTGATTCCTCTCTCCATTCCAAGCTTAATGAGTTCCAGTGAATTGTCTATCTATTTTAAAAGAAAGGACAAGCGTTAGCTGAAGGCAGGGTGACGAAAAATGCAAGTACAATTTGTACATTTCAGATGTAATAAAACGGATAAATACTGTAAAAAGTCGTGTTTAAAATGCAGCCTTTTGCTTTAAGCTCAAACTCGAGAGTGCGGCTAATCTGCGACACAATCTCTTCTGAGTGGTGAAAATTCCCTATTTTGAAGCCCGAAAAACTAATAACATAATGAATGAGTACCTGTTTAGAGAGAGATTCCATCTCACAAGCTCTGTTTCTGTACCACTTAGTCACCACCGCCGACGTTAATTTACACCTTAAAGGCAAAGAAAAAAGCATTACTATATCATCACTTTATTACACAAACACTATACAAACGAGAGTACTGTTCTGGCATAATAGTCTGTACTTTTACTAAAATGTCCATTCTTCGTTCTTACGTAAAATTTAAGTTAACAAAACAAAATTAATGTGTAAGAGAAATCAATATTGTTGTAGAACTATCATATATACTATTTCTAGTTACACCCCACCTCCCAAAACAAATGAGTTCTTGATTTAAAAAACATTCACTGATATTCATTGATACCCAAATTGGACACGGTCCCTTTCTCATTTTCTGTCCGACCAAGTTTGTTAACTGCTGTGAAAGAATTATAAGAAACAGTAACATCTTTCCCTCACCTGTACTGTTGTAAGTCAGGATTTTCTTCATAAATAAATTCTGCAGGGTCACCACAGTCTTCCCAGCCCACAACTTTTTTGCATTCAGCTTTCTCTGCCCAGTCGGCACATCTCCAACACTTTTCATCCCACTCTAAGATATCTGGATCACCTGCTGAGAAACTAAAAGAACATGGAACAGAATGTCACCGGTTCTACACAACAGCTAAAAGAGGAAGGAAAAATAATAAATCAAACATGGTTCTCCTCTTTCCCTTTATTTTAGACCTTTAGATTCTAAGATGAGGATGACCAATAGAACGAGATTGTCTCAATGCTAAAGAGCTCTTTCAATTTGTCAGAACTGACCGGCCACATCATTCTCGTCGTAACAAGAATTCCACTTTAAATCACCACTAGAACAAACGAATCCTAAATAGTATGCAGGATGACCTTTGTTAAAAAAATCTTTGAAAAAGCCTATTTCATTGTCAAAATGACTGGTCCAGCGGGAAATCGTGATAGCCCGGTCATTCTACTACGGATTTTATTGAAATGCTGTTGTAGTTACCAAGTTTAGTTTCAGTTTTATCATTTTGCGATCAGGAGAGGGTTTAACCTCCTTTTTTTTTCACAGCTTTATTGGGTGCTCCTTTAGTGAATACAATATGAATTTGTCATACAACACACACACAAAAAAAAAAAGAAGCAAAAACCCAAAAGGGGTAGGTGCAACGGGACTAACGTCCCATGCGAGCCACCGCCCCCCCTCCTTCAATAAATATAACCATGTTAACTTTTCTGGTGAAAAAGTAAAAATGAAGCTTTCCAGAATGTCAATTCTTGAGAATATGTGAAAAAATCTCTAAGTCAAATCTTGCCCTCGTCATCCACGAATCTATAGGTCTCTAAAGACACTCTCTCGGAAGTACAAATGTATTGGCTACAACTTTTCAATTTGTAAATAACCGTACTAAGATTACATGTATTTAATGTACCATGGAAACCACTAATACAGAGAATTTTCTCACATTTGTTCAGACAATTACTGTACCTATCACCTCATGCAAGGGATTCCGGAATAGGGGAAACGTTTGCTTGTGGAATCAGGAATTTTGGCCTTTGGAATCTGGAATACAGCTCAAGGAATACGGATCCCAATAACGATTGAAATCCGGAATCCAAATTCCAATGACAAAGTCTGGAATCCACTCCCTGAAATCCGGAATCTACAGCGTGGAATTCAGAATTCAAGACTGTCTTGGATTCCCTTGCATGGGGCGGAACCTACTTGTAACCCAGTCCTTAGGACGAGAAGTCCATCCCTCCGTCTGTTCAAAACACATTCGTTGTCAACAATAAGGAAGTTGACCTTTCACACTCACCCCGCCTCTGGAAGAAGAGCTTGGTACTCAGATGGTGGAATGGTCTCGTCAAAGTTTGATAGAATAGCAAGCCTGTGAGGAAGAGTCTCTTTCCCATGGTAAGTAAAAATGGCGTCCAGTGCATCACAGTTGCCATCCTGTAAGAAAAAACATATTGACGATACTACTTCGAACTGGTATTAAATCGGTGCTTAAAATGAAAAAAATAGTGCAAAACCTTCACGAAAAATTGCATATATAACATTTTGTTCTTGTGATCCAAATTACAATATGGACGTCCCCACACTAACTTGTTTGAAACTCACCTTTGCTGTTAGCAAAAATAAATAAAAAGTCCCACCTCTACTACAGTACGTTTTTCACATCATTTACAACCCACTACAAAAATGGAAACCTAGCGTCACCAAGCTATTGCTGGACAGAGACTGATTATCATTCAGTTCAGAGCTGCATGAGGTCTGTATTTCATTTCTTAATGAAATAGACTAATTTTACCAGGAACAATGTCAACATGGGGGTAAAAAACAGTAACAACTAGTTATGTCCCCTTAGCTTTTTACATAACCCTATGATAAAACAGCTTACGTCTACACCAAAATGGTACCTACGGTGGAGAGAAAGGCCAAACCTATTTTTAAGAGAGTCAGTTCGGCAAATCTTTTCAGAGGCTTATACCAAACTCAAATAGTTTTGTGTTAAAAGAACAACAACAACAACTAAAACATACCCTAGCATACTCTACAGCAGCTTGCATGATATTGATTTCTCTAAATCGTTCAAAGAATATGTGACAGTACTCCTCATGAGCCATGTGGACCCCGCCCAAAATAGCCTCATATGTAGAGAGGCGATCAAGGTATTGGAGTAACTTCAGTCGGTACATGCAGATGTCACGCTGCTCCAAGTTGAAACTGATCAAATGGTAAAAAAATCAGTAACCAAAATCATGCATCATTTAGCTGGTGGTATTATTTACAGAGAGCTAACATACAGGTAACACAAAACTACAAGTATTAGAAGCCAACCATCAGTATGAAGAATAAAGAGCTCAATAGTATGCCTGTTAAGACCACATAAATTTCAAAATACAACAGAGATGACCTGGAAGACGATTTCATTTTCAAGACTCAGATGGAAATTCAAAAGGTTCATTTAAAGCTTCTTATAAGGCATTTTTTAATTGTGTCGAGCGTTAGAGATCGCTCTGCGCAAGACATCTTCATGATTCTGAATCAAGTAATTCCAACTGATATCCATATGTCTTCTCCATCAACAATGCAAGGTAAGACCGCAAAAACATACTACCTTTAGTCAAAAAGGTCCCATCATATCAAAGCACTGGAGCTTTCAAATGTATCTCAAGTCTTCTTCAGCAAAGACTAACCTGAGTATTGACATGCCACTTATGTGTATTTTAACACAAGAGAACGAGAAATTAAAAACTGTGGGTAGTTCATAATCTCTATCTCTATTTAGGGTCAGACACTGGTGTCTGATATGGCTGGCCTCCTGGTTTTTCCTTTTAATGTCCATGGTCTCCTGGAGCCAATCAGGACTTTTGACTGGGCCCTCCTTTTGACTGGTGTTCCCAGATGGTGGGTGTTGTTTGCTTGTGATATTCACCCAGTCTCTTCCAAGGGTCAAAATGAGCATTAATAGTATCATATTATCTTGAGTTTGCTTTAGTGCAAGGTGCAGAAGACTTAAATAATTTTGTACAAATTTCAGACTGATCCTTGAATAACATTTTTTTTTCAGCTTATGTTAGTACCTGGCAAACTCTAACGAATCTTCAAGCTCCTTGATTTTCTTCTTTCTTTCCTCCTCCTCATTAAACTCATCACTCTTAGACTTGATAATAAAAGGCAATGGGCCTTGCTCACTTCCAACACTCTTCACCACCTTGGCATCTGTTCCATGGAGTCCATACTGCAACAACTGCTTGGCTGCTTCATAATTTTCTGGCACTCTGTCCACGCATTCATTAAGCACCCACAAACGATTCTTAACTTTGCTCTGCAATGATTAAAAGCAGATGCTATAGTTATTAACAATACGCAAGGGCATCCACAAACAACTCCAGTGAGCATACATAAGGAAATGGGGTAGAGGTTCGGGTGGACAATTTGATACAAATCACTTTATTCTGTCCACCCAAGCCTCGAGTTGGTGTCTTTGTTCACAGGAATGCAGGAAAAGTCTTATTTCAATGGCACTGTAAATTGTATCCTCAGTAATTGGGGCTTTTCTTGGAGTTAACCCATTTCTAGGTGGGGCACTCTAAATTCCAAGTGACTGGGATGACTGAAGGTTCTTATGGATTTGAAATTTTCCATTATGGGATTATTTTGGGTGCGCAAATATGGCAAGTTCTTAGAGACCTTTTAGATTTCCACGATGATCTGTAGATTTTTATTTTATGGAAGTGCCTTGCACTTAGTTCTGCTAAATAAGTAAAACCAAACCTATTTTTTGGTTAATCTCACATTAACTATTTCATTAAACCAGTGTGTACCATATAGAGTCAAACAAGACTTCAATTTATTTACTTGATTTTTTCACCCAACGTGGTTTTATAATTACAGCCATTCCCTTTTGCTGTTCTCAGGATTTTGGGCAAAGGATTTTTCTTAAATTTCTTTTTTTTGGCCCAGGGATTTGTTTGGGTTTTGTTGGAAGCCCTGGGGGAGGTTTTTTCTTGTTCTTTTTTTCCTTTTTTTTTTTTTTTTTGTGTGGGGGGGGGTGGCGGGTTTGTTCTTCATGTGTTTCATCTTTGTCTTTTCCGTTATTGTTTATTTTATTTTGTTTTTTTTTTGTTTTGTGGGTTGGTGTAATGTTTAGTTTCTTTTAAATCTTTTGCATTACATCAATTGCTTTTTGCTCCCATCTGCAACACTAGGACACTACAAGTCATTTTGTATGACTCAAACAATTACACAACAACCAGAGAATTCTCCCAGTCAGTTTAATAAAACTTTTTTCTGATTACTTCATCCCTGGAGGAAGTTAAATTACTGTAAAATGCAATCTTCAAAGGTGAAATCTAACCAAGTGAGATTTTTTAAACATTATTTTTATTGACACTGACCAAGTAATCGTGAATGGAAGCCACTGAAACATGAGATTTTCTCCATTGTTTCTGATAAACCAAATCACTGTCCAGTCCATAGGTCTGTGCAAGAACAAGGGCTTCACCATACTCCTCATGTTCTATCTAAAACAAATTAATAACTTCATTATTAAAACATAATTAAAAACTGAACCTTTCACCATGAAGATACTTTCAGTGATGAACCCTGACTTTATCACACACTTTGCCCTTTGGGCAGATGATTTAAAGTTAGCATATTTTAACAACCATCACATGGTGACAAAGTCTAAAAGATCAAAAATGCCAGAAAAACAGCTTTGATTTTTAGTTCCTTTCCTTCTCCATTTACAAATCTACTCACTGATCACTGGTATTTCTTTCCAAAACCTTTTGAGACAATAATAGCCCAGAGACTACAGGTTCTGAGATTTTACTGTCTAGAACAAACTAACACTGCGTAGAAATACAACACATTTCAAAAATCCAGATAATCTATGGTCATATTCCATTATTGCTATTATTATCCCCAGATTCCCTGCCTACTTGTTGTGTTCACAAGGCAACTTGAAATCTTAGTGACATCCCTGCCCGTAGCCAGAAATTCTGCCAAAAAACAAAAGAGAGCTTGTTTGCAAGCAAAGAATTTGCTAAATAATTTACAGGGTTTACCTTTCTGGCATAGAGCTCCTCGGGTGTTGTGGATCGTAAACAAACAAGCCTGTATGTGCAATGAAGAACTCTGAGAAGTAAAGCAGATGATAAATTACATTATATACTAAATCTGTATAAAAATGCATGATAAGAATTTTAAAGTAGTTGGAGAGAAAGATGACAATCATTCCAGATCCTGAATAGATGATCAAGGAAAGTAAACACAATCAAGGGTCAAAATTGTTATTATATCCATTTTAAAATCACTGGTGATCCCTGCAATCTGATTGGCTCTCAGCAGTGTGATTTATTAACGAATCACATGACTTTTTGCCCTAGATCACTGTTCTAAATCACAACATTTTTTCCTTATTTCACAACATTTCTGCTCCAAATACAAAATGAGCATGTAAAAGCCTTTTTGTTTCAACTTTTCAACAAACTGGACACTAGATCAGTAACACATTGGTACTGACTGAATTCTGCAATTTCAAAATCAATGTAATAAAGTAGTACAATGTAATTGTACAGAGTGGAGTAAAATTCTGGTCTGAAATCATACTTTGCTATTTCAAATCTAAACTCGCGCTGCCCACTCGTCTGATTCTAAAACCACGTGTATGATTTCAGACCAAAGTGCACTCCCCTCAGTTCAATTACCATTATAAATTTCACATCAACAATAAATTCAGAGAGTTATTTAAGTCCAAAAATGAGGTATCTGAAAAATTTGCCTAATATCATTGTGCTATAATACTTTGACCAAAAACAATAGAGACTGCTATACATACTTGCGTACTTTCATGGGTGGCTGAAACCTTTCACTTTCTGTCAGGAAAAACATCACCTGATAAAAAAAAACATTTAACGTTTCTTTGAAATTATTGTTTGGTAGTACACCATTCTTGTTTCCCTATCAATTCGCTAAAAACATCCATCTATAAATAATTATATTCTGAAAAGAAAAATCTGAAAAAAAATTTGTCAAAGAACTTAAGGATGATCTTGTCTGAAAATTCAGTCTCCTAGCCTGCAAGTCTGATCAAACACATATTTCACAAAGTTCACGCATTGGCTAATGTCACAGTTCCTTTAGCTAGCCTTTAAATAAGAGTCTAATAAAATCATGACAACCAAACATATGACATAAAGGGGGGAACTCCACTCCGCCATCAGCATGGCGGATGACTTCCATAGCACGACCATAGAGCCATACTTATCTTCCCGGCACTATTACATATCTGCACCAGATCGGACAAGTTCAGGTGGGTCCAAAAGAAAGAAAATTAATACAGCCTAACACTCCACGGCACTACGAGCTGAAACCTTCAGCCAACATTGCACAACTGACTACTATCTGAGGGTAAGCCAATGATAAATACTGTACCACTGGATTGAGAGAGCACGCGAGGTGCTCCACGAGATGTGCATGAGGAAAATTATTTTTACTAGCCATACAAAACAAGCGATACATTAGAAACTAGTCCCAACTGCAACGTAAACAAGGATTGCTACTGTATACATAATTTCCTAACTGTGAAAGTGATTTTCCACTACCCAATAATTTGACCTAGACTGTGAGTAAAACCCTACCAAAATGTGATAAGGGCTGGGATAACTCTGCATTACATGTTGCTGATTGAGGGCATCATGCTCTATTAACTGCATTTTACAACTGAGTTTTAAAGATTTCTTTAATTTGCCTCTGTAACTTTCTTTCTTCTTTGAATTTTCTAATTAACTCACCTGTTTGGCAAAACGTTTTGATCTGGACATCAGAGTTGGCTCATCATCATCATCATCACTCTCCAATTCAACATCCTCCTTCTCACCGTTCTTGTCACTATCACCTTCATCCTCACCAGCATTTAAGGCATGTTTGGATCGTGAGGTCTTGATTTCATTTTCACATTAAAAATAACACGAAGTTGGTTCAATAGGGTATAAAGAAAGTTAGTTTTACAGATTGCGATTCAGGCAAGCTGTAGCCAGCATGTACTAGCCCAAAAAAAATTTATTATGATCAAAATTGATTACAGTTCTTCTGCACTTTGAACTCCCCCAAAAAACTTCACTTGCCTGTCAGGCAAGTTAAGAACAGAATTAACCAGCCAGTAAGGCTAAAATTATGTAGTTTTTTGGATGAGTGCAATGACACAAGATTGAAAGACACTGAGCAAACCCACACCACAAAATCGTAAGTAGCTGGCTAATCAACAATGGTTTCCACAACAAGAAACATCTTAAATGTTGGAGAATCAGTTGACTTTGAAATCCTTACGAATAACAGAAAAACCCAAAAAAATATCAAAATGCCAATAAATTAAAAAATTGGAGGACCTTGAGGAGGATGTTTGTTTCACAAAATGTACTTGGTAACATGTTTATTATTAACAGGACATTTAGATTTGATGAAGAGTGTGAGATTGACTACATTGATTACACAAGTGCATTTTTCAAATAATTAAATTCATATGCCTTGTATAACTACTATTATATTCATTCAAAAAATTTCACTATTTCTGATTGGCTTTAATCCTCCAGCTAATTATTATTCATAACCAGCTAGCACTGACCAAAATTTGGAAAATGTGAGCAATGTACAGTCGTTGATAACAGTCATGCTGACATCATTGATTCTATATTATGTTATCATTGATTTCATGCAAGAGAGTACGTGGCACAGCAGCTCAGCTGTTTTGGCTTGAATGCAGATGTCAAGAAAATGACAAAGGAGTTCATGGCTACGCAAAGAAAAATAGCCGAATTACTGACTAAAGCTGAAAAGAACAGAGGCAATTATACAAGCACACAAAAATCCTGTATATTGCTTGATATTATCATCAATTAGGTATTCAAGAGGGGGATGAAAAGAGGTATACAAATCCGCTGACCAGTTATGATTTATAAACCAAATCCGCTGTTAAAACTTCACTTCGAATAATTTTAAAACAAACAAAGTCCAAAACTGGGCCCAAAAAATGAATTCGCAATCCACTGAAATTATCAGATCATCAAATCTGTTGAAATCTCACTCTGGATCCAAAATCTGGGCAAAAATTAATTTCAAAATCTGCCAATCTGTTGGCTTCAGCCCCCTCTTCAAATATCAAGCTTTCAGTACACAAAGTAAGTCTTTATACCTCTAAAATGAGAAACCCTTTACTATGGGCAGCAGTGATACGAGACCATGGTTCACACATTTCTGGGCGGTGACCAAGCAGATTATGAAGACTACAAAAAGAAAAAAATTACTACCATATCTTAAATCTTTGGCCAATTCAGTCAAATAATTTATTCAAAGTCAAACTCAACAGATCAACAGATCGGTCTACAAATCCAAATCTTGAACTCTCATCTCTTTCAGTAACAGGGAAAATGTCTGTTTAATATCTTGATCAATATTATAGAGCCATGTTGATTAAAAAACTTGACACTTTGTTTGCTCCCAGACATTATGTTGTACCTTCGGAAAGCATGTACAAAGTGCATTAGGCCATAATACACGGCTAAAACTGACCACAACACTACATAGGCCATAATACAAGGCTAAAACTGACCACAACACTACATGCCAAAATCAACCTACTGCCAGATAAAACAAATCAGCTTCTTTTACCAATTCAGAGCTATGACAACTACAATGTTTTGCCAAGACAATTACTTGAAAACTAATTGTCTTGTTACACCCTCCCTCATGTTGATTCACATATTACCCATTAATAGAAATAAATGTCAAGAGAAGACCAAGTACACAATTAAAAACAGAAAAATCGAAAAAGTCAGTTGAGAAGGTATGACATGAGAAATCCTTAGTTTCATTCTATAGTTTTTCAAAGAAATTTAAATACTATTGAATCAAATTTAATGTAGTTAATGACTAGGAGCTATGATTCCTAGTGTTTTTGGCCTTCTTTGGTGGCATGTTGGATGTCTGTAGTGTTATCGCGTGACTGTTAGTGTTTGTTGTTTTGTGAGCATGCAGGCAAATTCCTGTCCAGTGGTATGTCGCTTCTGTGCATGAGCAGGCCATAGCAGGTGCCTACATTGTGTTTGCGTTGAACTCAAAGCTTTCTTGGCCTGGCGTTCTGTTCTAGTAGAGTAGCGTTTCTCTTGGTTCCCCTCCCTCCCTCCGCTTTCTTGGTTTAGGGTCTCCCCCCCTCCCAGGGTTTTCATATTACTTCCACTGAGCTTCTCGCCTCAGTGTGACAGGTGGTATAGAAGATTACACTTAGAACCTTCATTATATTTTGGGATCATTTATTACATTAATTGAGGTCTCAGGCTGGGCGCGGGGGGAAAGCTCGTGGCTGGGTTGCGGGTTGGCAAATCTGTGGGTGTTCTTCCGCCTTTGGGTGTGATTGCGGTTGCAGCCCCCTGGCCCCTGGGCACCCAACCTCCACTTGCAATGTGGGCGTTAACGAGTATTGTAGACCTAGATTTGGTGCTTTATAAATGAAAAACTCTACCTGCCCAGACACATACAGTCACAAAAGGATGTTTCTTATTTATGTGAGAAAAACCAGTCAAAATACTTCTTGAGGATAAAACAACCCTTTAAAGTCTAGTTTGCTTAATTTAATTACCTCTGCTCAGTGGAAGACACAGTTAATGCTCCAGTGCTGTGAGACAAAATCAGTGCCTACATAAAAAGGGAAATGTAAAAACTATTATTCGTTGGTATACACTCAGTCAAGTCTCTCTTAATGGACACTTCTACATCTGCTTCATTTGACTCTCTACAAGCAGTGATTTTGTTACAAATAATTATGGCGAGTCCTGGGACTCATTTTGTGAGAAATTGTGAGTCCCAGTCTAGAACCAATGAGTCCCAGTTAAAAAAACAACCAATCCAAACTTGAAAATGATTGGGCCTTTATATAACCAGACAGTGTTAATCTAAAGACAGACTCCAAAACTCTTTACTACAGTATACTGAAATTAAAATTTAGTTCTTCTATTTTATAGCACAACAAAGGCTAAAATAAACAACAGCCATAATAACTGCCACAGAAATTATACAATCAGGATATTTCGACGAGTCAAAAACACATGGATCAACCGATTGATCTTTGCATCCTATGGGATGAATGCCATGACTTATTTTGTATCTTAAAGGATTTTTATGCATCAGGGACGCAGGATGAGGAGGTAACAAAATCACTCAACAGGAAAGACATTACTCTAAGATGGACACAATGGTACTAATCTTAAAGGTGTCCATATCAGAGAGAGTTGACAGTACAGTGCATGTAGGTGAAAGCATAAGTAGTTCACACATGACAGAAAAAATTGTTCAAGTGTACTGATCCAATCCACGCTTTTTAAATTGCTCAAAGAGGCACAGCAATCTTAGCCATCACTAAAAAACATTAACTTGCTTCCTTCTAACATAGCTATGTTATAATTATTTTGTCTTCCCGACTCAAGAGCTCAGTTCACCTCATACTAGCTACAGGGAAGAACAGGAATTAATGGGAAGAAAGACTGAGTTATTATAATTATTTCACATTAATGGAATTACTTCTAATTAAAATCACCTGAAGAGAGGAAATCCAAATTATTTGAGGACTAATTAGTAATATAACACTATGATAAATGAACAGTAACCCCTTCAAGTCACACAACCACAAGGTGGTTGTACTAATGAGGTTTTCAGGTAAGAGATCAAGTTTTTTTTACTGACATTTAAGGCCAAAAAATGGCTTTAAAAACAGGACAGTCAAAAGGTTTAGGTATCTCCTTAAAATCTCCTACATCAAAGTTGATCTACATGTACATGTACAGTATAAAGAGAGTCTTTTAAAATGGGAGTTTAGGGAGTTTGTAAAAATCGGAGGTCGATCATATTTTAGTTTTACAGACTTGAATGTTGAATGATTGAACTACTGACTTATGAAATACAATGTTATTTGTCAGGAGGGTAAGACCATTCAATAAAGATCTAGGACCGTGCATATTGTAGTTAATGTCGGTTAGGCTTTGCTTTACTTTTATCAGTGAATGTTAAAAAACAAGCCACTGATAATATTAAATTTGTTTGATTTGAAGAGAAACCTCTTAAAAAAATGTTCAAAGTTTTGAATAACAGACGAGTTAATGTCAACCTTACCTCTTCAGCCCACCAATTCACAGCCATTAAACCATGAAATGACAACTCTGTGGAGGTTTGACAAAATGTTGATTTTAAAAATGTTATTCCATAAACATTCTTACAAGGATGTTTACAAACAATAACAACAGCTACATTATAAAAACAATGAAAACGTTGAAACATGGAGTGACAAGTTCCATTATAGTGTGAATTTTTAGTGTGTGCTGGAATTTCTTTCTCAACATGAATGCCAGCACTTTTTTACTATAATTAATTGTGACGAGAATAACATGTATGTACAGCAAGAATAGAATAATAATTACGTACAAGACTATCATTTTTGCAACAGTCATAAACTTGTCAAAATAAACATTTTTGGTAATGGGCTTGTTCAAATTTCACTCTCTTCAGCCAAAGAATTATCCATTTCAGGTGGCGTGCTCTGGGCAGAGTCCGAGGCGTTCTCTTTGTATAAGCCACACCATATTGTATCACTATATTATAACTCTACGTCAACAGTTATTTGGATATGGGATCTTTTTTTACAATAATATTTTGAAACATAGGTGGAGAGCCAAAAATGTAACTAACCTTTGTTTGAATCCGGTGGTTTGGTGGAAGCGAATTTAACTTGTTCATCTGGGTTCTTAAATGAGGGCTGCAGTGGAAAATGAAAAAATGGGAAATGATAACAACATCTTAGTGGCTAAGCTACTGTAAAAAAAAAGGCAGTTTGAGTGTAAATTGTCTCTGTTTTTTTTTACATTTGTACAAAATGAAATCAGGAAAATTTATCAATGTTTTAGGCTTGTTTTATTGAAATAATAACAATTCTAATTGAAGTGATAACATTCAGTACTATGTCATGTTGGCTAAAGTAATTTTATCCACTATATCTCAAAAGACAATGCAAGGTTGTTATCAGATCTTGTCAACTATTTTACTCAAGTAATATTCATTCATTCCAACTAAGATCAGCGAAATTAAAGAAAAATGTACAGTAGGCAAAAGCAACTGACATTATAACAGACTCTTATTTTCAACTGACCTGTTCATCAACAGACCACATAGTTTTTTGTCGCAGAGATGGGACATGCCACAAGGACAAGGTTCCTGACATGTGTAAAGCCGCAAGCTTGGTTCCATCCGGGGATAAAGACATCTGTGCAACACCATCCTAAATAATGAGCAACAACAAACAGAGGTTATATATACTGTCAAGTTATTAATTTTAATTGTCACACAAGATGGTATCTCTCAGTGGCACTTGTCATAATAATAATAGTATTTACGTGGCATACACTCTAATGAAGGTCAGTTTTGGGTGTATCTCTACATGTATGAATCTGATGCATGATACACTTGTCCAGATCACTACAACTACTACTGTTGTATTTATAGTATATAAATATTAAAGACTGTCATAACATTTAAAGCTTGAAGCTTATGGCCCTCTTACACTGTACTTACAAACAATGCAATCAGCTGGTAACGGGCTTGTAAATAATTTCCCTTTTTAGAAAGGATAGTCATGCATCAAACCAGGTCATTATTTTATTGCGACAAACCAGAACATTTGCACAGGGATCGAGCTATCACATCTGATAAATTGTACAAAATGGAGTCATCAGATGCCATCTGAGAATACCCTTTCAGGTGGGATTGCACCTGACATTGGGTATATCGTTATTTGAGTGTGACGCTGACTGATGACTGAATTATACTTGCAGCTCAGCAAGGATTTTTCCACATAAAATTTACAAAATGATGCATTACTCATGGTTTTAGGAGCTGATATCCTAAAAAAATGTGTTGTGTAAAGTAATATTCTTGGTGGAAGAAACAGATGATGCTGACTTGAGTCTTAGTAGATAAAAAAGGAATCACTAACCAGTCCTTCAGATGACACATTAACCAAAGGAAGACTTCTAATTCGATTTAATATTCCAGAACCAGTCTGTAACATAAATACACACCATATACAGGGCTGCCACTAAGATTTCAAAGTTACTAAATTTTTTTAATAAAAAATAGACAATAATTTTACCCCATCTATACTCTTTATACTGAGTAGACTATAAAAACGTTCAACCATGGGCCACAGCAAACCGGCTTCACTTCACAATGTTGAAGATATTGACATACATGTAATTTTTATGGTTTATAAGTCAATATTATAAACTATAGAAAATTGTTGTCTGTTTGCTTTTTACAATTGAATAAATATTCTGGCCATAACCTAGTCCAGGAGTGAAAATGAATGTTAATTTAGTGAATGACTTAACTACATGTACAGTGGGATTTTCAAAAAAACAATTTACCCGCAATAACTTAGTGCCTTCATCCTCTATGAGATGGTAATGTGGATAACCAGAAAGAATCCTCCATGCTGTTAATCCATACTGTGATGCTGGGCAAGACGGATTATCTATTTCAAACAAAATTAATTGATTATTTTGTTATAATCCATGAACCCATTTAGAAACTGTTAATATCAGAACATGACGTACATATAACCTACTAAACAACTAAGTGGCCATACCTGTAGAAGTTCTATTGCTCTGATGAACTACACTTCCTAGAATCAACAGTTTGTGTTGAGGATGGTATACTACTGAGCAAACTTGGTTTGGAAGGATGCTGGAAAATGAAAAACTGTGATTCTCCTGATAACCATGGGTAGGGCTATAAGAACAATGATCAAAATAATATTATATTATCTCTTGAAGTTTACAATTTAAAAATGCAAGCAGTAAAAGTTTCCATATACACAAACCTGACTAAATAATTCTTCAATTCACCACAATAATTTATCACAACAAGTTCTGCTGACCTAAAAAAAAGAAAAGAAGAAAATAGTGTGACAAAAGAGAAGCAGTCTTAAGCATTTATTACTTAATTTTATTATTCATTCAAAATATTTCTTGGTTTCCAACTCGATTAATTCCCCCAAATAATTCTTCATAACCAGCCAGCATCAACCAGATTTAAAAGATGTGTGGTGATATCCATAAAAGTGACATCACATTTTCAGATAATTAACAGAAAAAAAGTAGCAGATTGCAGCACAGTAGCTCAGCTTTTCCTCTGCAAGCAGAGCTGAAGAAAATGGCAGAAAATTCCACTTGTTATAGAAAGACAAGAAGCCAGACTACTACCTAAAGAATATTGCAAGAATGGCAAAAATAGAACTCAGAGACAGATAGCAAATGTTATGAAAAATAATATCTGCTGGAATGGACATCCCTTCGTACCCTGAAACTGCCAAGGAATGGGCAAATGTTAAGATGAAAACTATTAATAATTATTTGATTTCATATTATATGAAAAAATGTGCACCACAATATGCAGATCAGACAGCTTCCTCAATCTGCAAAATTCTTCATATCATACAAAAAGCCAAAACCAATCATATTCATAATTATTACTAACACCAACAAGACTTTCTCATGTTTCAGTTCCACAAATAACTCTATAATCCAATTAGTTAGAAACATTTTTTTGGCAAATTTGGTGGGTTGGGGGAGGGGGGGGTTAGCAAGGAAAACTTTTACTGATCTCAGTTTTTCTATTCAGTACTACATTATTACATAGCAAGCATCTTACCACTGAGAGCTGTGCTTGTGATCAATGAAAACAAGTCCAGATATACAGTCACTTAAATCTGAAGGAAGAGCTCCAATGGTCTGGAAAAAAAAACATTTGTTAAAAAGCAGTTTAGCAAGATTTACAGTTAATAGTAAGAATGTATTGCAGGTCCAAATTACATTTAACCTTTTAGTTTCCCCTTTTACTAATATAACCAGCTTCATCAAATACAGGTATTTATTTTTTCTCAGTGCGTTTGCAAACGGATTGAATGATCCAAATCCTGCAATCTGATTGGTTCTGGGAGCACACAGTCTTTCACAGACTTTCCCCTTTCCCTGGGCGAAATCATTTTAAAGGCTTCATTCACAAGTCTGTTTGTTGTTTGTGAATGAGTAAAAGCTGTGATGTATGAATGTATGTAGGTACAACTGTGAAGAACAATGACAAAATATTGTTGTTGTTTTTTTGTAGGGGATTGGGGGGGCTTACCTGAGGAATTGTGAAAAGCAGTTCTCCTGCAAGGTCAAACACCACTATGTCACCAAAACTATGAAAAAAAAATTAATATTAATAACTCATTTTAGTGAGACTTGAGTGTGTTCATGCATGATACAGCCGTAGCAAGAAACTGCTACCATATATCCTCAAGTCTATTGCCTCTGTCCAGAATAATAATAGATAATAATAATAATAGGTTTTTATGGCACATTTAAAGAATTCATGAAGGGGTTTACAATAGTAAACAAAGTCTAAATGAAACTATATATAGTGATTATTCCTAAAAAGAAAAGTTTTCAACCATTGCTTAAAAGTAGAAACAGATTCAGAGTTTTTGATATGATCAGGTAGACTGTTCCCGATTATCAATGCATAATATGGAAATGAGCGGTGTCCATAAGCCACGGTATTAACAGAAGGAACTTGTAAAAGCGATCTATTGAAGTCAAATAGTAAGGAGCTAAATCGTTTTAAATTTTAAATGTTAAAAGGTTTTTCGATAAAAAGAGAACTAACACATTTTTCAAAAATTAGACCAAGGCATCGATAGACTTGCGCACCAACATGTGCATGCAACCACATTCTTCCAAAAAATACAGTGAGTTTATTTCATAGAGGCACATACCTTTCCAGAAATTGTTTCAATCAATAATTATTAAAATAACTTAAAATGTTTCCTTTCCTTTAAATGCAAATTACATATAATATTGAACAATTAAGCATAATTTTTAAAAAAAAGTCTGGTTCATAGGGTTTTTCTTAAAAGCATACTAATCAGTATAAAATCATTCCTAATCAGTATAAACCACTGTACCAACCTATAAGAACAGGCCAACATTGAACAATCCTGACTCCATGCCAATTTCCTCCATTGAGGATGACTGTCTTTGTCAACTGAAACCAAGCAACAACAAAATTATTCTCTCTGATTCTTGGGATGGATGTAATTCCCAGGAAAAATGAAAAACAAAGGTTATGCAAAATTTTGGGGGGCAAACAAGGTGTATTATGGGAGATGTGAAAATGGTGAATAAAATGTCTGTTGTATTTTTTCTGCAAGGGATTTACAGCTGTACATACAGTAAATGAATTTCCCTATTTTATAGGAGTGTAAACAGCTAGTGAAAAAGTTAATGTAACAACAACAACAAACAAAATATTACTGGTTTTATGAGCAAAACAAAAGCTCTGCACGTGCTTCACACTTTTTGGTACATCTTTGTCGCCACTGCAGGTAACTATGTGCAAACTTTCTCAAGCATGAACACCCAAAAAATTTGTCAACATTTGACTAAACCTGAGCAAGAGCCATTGTCTTCAGGGTTGCTTTAACTCCCTATGATCAGCTGCACTTTAATCAGTTTTGGTTGTTGCAGAGTCTATAGGTAGCTATTAAAAAGTAACAAAAGGACTGAGCTTTGCCGAAGGACAGTCTCCCAGCCCAATAATGGTGACTTACCAGTGCACTTGGCAACCACTGATTCAAACTCATCCACAAAAGACCTAGTGTTTTGACAATAACACAACATGGTGAGGGTGAACAAGTGACTTTGATAAACTACTAGTTTCTCCCACCAAACTACCATAAACTGTTACTTTTAAGCCCCCAGGTTATAGGCCCATCTGCCTGTAAACAAAAAAATACATGGCCATGATAATAAGCCCCCACCGGATATATGCCTCCCTCCTGATGTATGGAAGTGAATTTGATCTATAATGGGGTTTTGGTCCAAACAAGAAGAAAAGAACCAAACGCAATGAACAAGTGAGGATGCATAAAGGTGCTAACTTTGCTATTGTCTCTACCACACTTTTGACTGGTTTGAACAACAAACTTTACAAAATCTTCACAAAGCAGCACGTATATTAATCCCCTGTTTTCTAACCAACTTCCTTACAACAAAATCTTGTCTGAATCTAAGTAACTCAGAAATCCTATGTGACGAACATGCAAAATTGTAAACTTTTCATGTCAATTGTCTGCAACTCTTATGACTGGTCAAAATCACCCATTGAAAATGGAGTTTATATAAATTTTATTTTGTAAACTGCCTTATTCATTTTATAGGTTTATGCATTCTCTGTGTGAAAATGAAAACATTCCCATGTGAGCAAAGCATATTGCGCCATAACAAAAGAATAATAATATTTATTGCTTCCCGTCTTGCCTGTATCATTACTTGATTTAAAACCAGTAAATGCAAAACTTATTTTGATCGGCAATGCTAAAGCTTGTTTTGAAGCACTTTTTCTATTCCAGATATAAGCCCCCTCAGATATTATGACCCATGCCATTTTTCCGCTTTCCTAAAACCCTTTAGCTGAACTTTAATAGGACCTTTGACATCTACAGCACTTACCAAAAGACAAAACTGGCTGGAAGTACCAATTATTTTGAAAACAAAATAGGCTATTCTTCCATTCTTCGTTAAAAATCCATCACTGCTGTGCTTACTATTCATAAACTGACTGACCTAGCTGAACTGTCCTGATTCTGATGGTGGAATTCTCTTTACTACTCACTCATCTCATTGGCCAGTTACTGTATGACTAATGGTAAGCACCCAGCTTAGTCACTCAGGGCCTTGTTCCACACAGGAAACATTGATGATTAATGTACGTTTTGAAGCAAATGGCATTGATTGACTTCAAAATCATGATAAAAATTAATAATTTTAATTATTGTAGTAATAATTTTATTTATTAGCACTAATCCATGATTGTGCTTAGCAATTACCTATGGTTAAAAATGCATAAAATATAATATTCATGGTAATCTACATTTACAATAACCATGACAGAAAATATTAATTTTTTTTTTTTTTGACAAAAGATTCACACTAAATGAACAAGGTATGTAGTACAAGTAAAGAAAAAGTTTACCTGTAGCTTAAAAAGGAAGATTTTTAAAATTATGTCTTTAAAACTATCATAAGTTCGTATTAGAAATAAGCCAATTTATAGATGTCTTCCAATAACATGAAAGTGTCAATTTATAAGATACCCCTCACTGTTCAAATTTACAATACATATTTATGTGAGTGCAGGATGTTGCATGTATGTACTTAACCTTATCAGTTTCTAAAATAGTTTCTAAAAATGACCTTCACTGTGATCCAAACAGTCACAACAGTAACAGCATTACCTTATTTCAATAAAACTGTCTTGAAGTATGGCCAAAAGCTTTCCATCACTAAAGACAAAAAAAATTAAAGGGCATCAACACTATGAAAGGTTTACTTTAAAAATGGAAAAGCTGAACACACACCTTATATAATACTGCATTTATGTGATCAAGCACCCAACCTCAAAAATGCGCCCACTTCCAATAACCAACCACCCTATAATTCTTAGCTCGAAAAACATTAATGGGCACCAATGCCACCTCCCCCCCCCTTACACCCCACAAAAAAGATTGTATTGACAATGAGATTAATTTGAAAACAATAACTGAGAACAATTTCTCTTGGTATTTTAAAGAAACTTTCATTTCTTGTTTTGTTGCAAAGAAAATAAACTTATTTACTTGCTAAAAATGGTTACAATTTATTAAGTGCCCACTTCCAAGGTACAAACATTCAATAAGCTTGGTGCTTAATTATCATAAACTGAATGTAATGAATTCTCTCCCAGAATATAGATGTATCTGGGCCTCTCATAGGAAGGGACCCCCTGTGTGTTGAATCTTGTAACCGACCACCTCCTGTATTAAAACGACCACTAAATCATTATATTTTGGATGGTCACTTTATGGGAGGTTCAAGAAAGATATAAACATGTACCTGGATAAAGCAAACTGCCAACTGAGAGAACTGCTAATAATTCTGTAGAGTTGGGCAGGAAGACCGAGAATCTGATTGCTGCCACTGAAATAATAATAGATCAAGTTAAAATACACTGTTTCGTGATGAATGTAAGCCCTAGGATTTCAATTCCCATTGACAACAATTTTTCCGTTCTGTGCCCAGAGATTATGGGAAACCATCACTAACAATTTTTTGGTTATATGAAAATTCATGGGAACCCTGTTTTTTTTACGGGGAGGTGTGATCCAAGGAGCCGACAGAGGAAACGAGACCAGAGGAGCAAGTCTCAATGGGGGGGGGGGGGGGGGGGGGGGGGGTTGGGAGGGGCCCGGGGGGGGCGTTTTTGTCTTTTTTACCCTCGGGGGGGTGGAAAAAAAATTCTTTTTTCATTTTTCATCATCAACCCCCTCCCAAAAACACCACCAAAACAAACACAACAACACAGCTGGTATGGAATGTATAGTGACAAAGAATGGTAATTCTTGGTGTGGGGAGAGGGAGTGGGCGGTGGGCTGTTGGGGGGGGGGGGGGGGGGGGAGGGCGAGGGGGGGGGGGGGGGGGGGGGGGGGGGGGGGGGGGGGGGGGGGGGGGGGGGGGGGGGGGGGGGGACTAGGTTGCCTGAGACTGCATGGGCCTGATTTTGACTTTTTATTACCCTGAGAGTGGGTAAAAAAATTACTTTCTCACCTTATAGCATACTGAGCCCCTCTCAACAACCACCAGAAAGAATCTGGAAATACATGTGGAAGGAATAATAATTTATTATCATATTATGTTTTGGAGGTGATGGTGCAACATCGATTTTCTGCCAACAAAATCAACAGAAAAGCAAGAGAAAAGAAGTCTACAGTTGTATGAAAATGAATAAATGATCAACAAGGAAAACGTTTTGACCTTAAAACAAATTTGCTCACAACAAATTCTTGAAGGAAAGGTAGAGAGGTCAGTCTTTGTATCTGCATATCAGGGATTGGAGGGGTAAGAAGAATGAGATAACCAAATTATGTCTAAGCGGTAAACAAGAATAATATTAAACTACTTTGAGCAACTGTCAGGAACTTCTTTGGTAAAGATCCTCTCAACTGGCCAATGTCAAATCCCGTCTTGTTCTGTAACGAAAAATAATGACAGAGGCAATCAATTCATTCTGATCAATAATATACTGTGCATGTAGAATTAATGCATACAAATAGGCATAAATCACCTTTTTTCAGGGAAATGTATTAAGGCTGCTTTTTGCAATGGTAAACCCTAACTTAAAGGGGCTAGGTCATGTGGTCACATTATTCTGTGCCAAAGTTATTACTTAGTACCTTAATCCAAACACATAATGTTCTAGTAGAGTTATGAAGAGGATATCAGGTAATACTAACCTTAATCATAAGTACTATATCAAAATTCTCAAATCTGATTGGCTATCAACTGTCCTGATTTCAGCACTAATTAAAAATGATTCATGCATGAATCATGTTTATTAAAATTAATGAAGCACAGCCATTAACGCAGGCATATCACCGACGTTAACTTTTCTATTTACTGGATAATAAAGTATTTTACGTTTATGGGGCATCGTTTTTAGGTAAAATCTGACAAACTCGTTGCACACATGCAAAAGAGCAACGACCGAAACACTGCCCAAGATGACCTAAACGGTGCCACGTTTGCATACAGTTGTAAAGAACCAGACAAGAAGGCAAAGTATAATGGAATTTTTTGGGATTATATTTTCACGTCCTTCAGGTTTATGATTTAAAATACTAACCAAAAGTTCGCCCTCGAGGTTCCACTCTGAACGGATAAAAACATCATACAAGATTTGGTCATCCATCGCGGCAGCCATTATGGAATCCTCCAAGATCCGCGAGGGACTAAGAGCTAGTCTCTCATTGGTTTGTTATGATCACGTGGAATGCCTTAACCCACAAAAACCGCCATCTTTGAAAATCAACAACATTTTCTTGCAAGTTTCGGTGACAATTTAGTAGAAGTTACTATCAAATTCCTTCTATTATAGAGCCTCAAAGGAAATCATGGCGACAGAAACAGCGTTCAGACCTCATATAGATCAAGAGAATGCCCAAGCGGTGAATATAAAAGGAGGAAATGTTTCTGGTAAGCGTTTACTTTCAGACAAACATCTCGATTTAATCTTCCAGCCTTTTATCTGTAGTGGCGAAGTTAGTCACTGCTGCGCTGAGAGGGACAAAATTGTCGGCTGCCGATTCATTTTTACTTGGAAGAATTTAGTGTGATGTATCATTTTCACTCCATTTGATATTTTTCTGCCCAAGAAAACAAGGAAAAAAGCAAAACTTTTCGTCGTAGTAGCTCTATAGCTTTTAACTTTTTGTACATTGTATTTAGGGAGAAGTTTTGGTATTGCAAAGTCTTTTCAATCAAACCACACTCCCTTGGCTACTCCACGACGTGCATTAGGAGATGTCCAGAATACTCTACAAGCGGGAACAATAAAGGCCAGGAAAGGACTTGCATTAAGACCTAACAAACCATGTGGGAAAACACCTGGTGCAACAAAGGTCCTCCAAGGCCGCACAGGAACCCCAGCAACCAAAGGCCTACCTTTGTTGCAACAAATAAGTTCTGCGGGTCTAAAACAAAGCACTAAACAGAAACATACCTCTCATGCAAGAACTAAAGAAAAACAGAAAGTGAAGGCACAACAACAAGAACTTTGTGAAAAGGAAGTGATGTATCCATTTACAGAACAAGGTGGGTGATTGGACACATGGCTTAAAATAACAGCCAGTCAACGGACAATGTCCAGCCAAGGTGACTATTTGTCCGGACAAACTTTCAGTTGGTTGGTCATTTTGAGCTATTTCAGTGATTCTGTTAACTCTGCGTCCTGCGTCCCTGACGCATAAAAATCCCCAAAGATGCAAAATAATTCATGGCATGCATCCCGTAGGATGCAAAGATCAATCAATCAATTTGAATGTTCATTTTTGTACAAATATTCTGTTCATGTAATTTTCATGGCAGTTATTATGGCTGTTGTTTAACGATTCAGATTTCATTTAGTCTTTGTTGTGCTTTAAAATAGAAGGACTATATTTTAATTTCATTTTACTGTAAATTTCAGTTTTGAATTTGTTGTTTTTTTTTAACTGGGACTGGATGGCTCTGGACTGGGACAGTCAACTCATGATTTTTCACAAGATGAGTCCCAGGACTCACCAGAACTATTTGTAACAAAATCACTGTATTTGCTCACATTATACATCCATAATTCCAGCTACCGACAGCAACCTGTCAAGGCAGACAATTTACCCATAGTCCATGATGACAAGGCAATAATCATGCCAACTGAGGCTGTCAGTTATAATATTACAGTGGAACTTCGATATAACAAATGACTAAGGGACTGGCAAAAAATGTTCACTATAACAAGGTTTTATTATATCAAGGTTGTTTCCAATATATTTTACCATTATTGGGGTAAAGAAAATAGTTTGTTTTACTGGGCACTTTGTTATATAGAGGTTTCCATTCGTTCTATCAAGGTTCTACTGTACTTTGGAAGCAATGATGATATTATTTGAAAGGGCTCACCAGTAGAATGGTTTACACTTCCTGACAATAGCAATAATTTGGAGTTCTTAGTACTATGTAACAGTTATTAAACTATTCAATGTTGGACGACATTCTTGCTATCAAATATACAAATTGCCCAATAGCAGGCATTTCTTTTGTTTTTATTCTGATCTATGCATTTATTTTCTTTAGAGGATGTATTGCCAAGATCAAAATATGTTTCAGCAATATTAAAAAATGTTGGGGCTCTGTATCATGGTTGTATGTTTCAACCTCATTCTGCCCTTGATTCTGAGCCTAAAGAGATTACAGAAACTAATATTCACTTTGAAAATGAAAGAAGACCAGCAAAAGGTAAGGACAGATAAAATAGTTGCACTAGAATTTTACTAAGAATTTAACATTTTTTGTAGAGTTGTGATAAGAACTCTATTAAAATGGCCTGATTGGGTGTGATGTAAACAATGTTTCAAACAATTATTGAAGCTGTCACAAGTTATAAGCTACGTTTATCAAATTCAATATACAAATATAGTTTATTAATCTGTTGGTTTTAACAAAATAAGCCAAAGAATACAAAAGAGTTGGCAATCTCATTGCGTTCTAATTTTCACCTATCATTATGATGGTGCTTAAAAGGCAGTAACAAATCCTGGATCAGACTGCATTGAATCCACCCCTGTTGCTCACTGGATGAAAAAAGGTTAGTGATAGGGTTACAGGTGTTGATCCGATCCTGTCCAATCCAGGTTTGTCAACAGCTCTGCTTAAATGCTAAATCTGCACCTCACTGACTGTAAATTTTGGCTTATTATATTTTGTTGTTGTTGTTTTCCAGATTCCTACTTAGATTCACTTCCATTTGAAGGAGAACTGGATTCATTGACACAAGGCCTAACTACTCTCAGCCTTCCAGATATTGAACTGCCACCTGTGGACATTGATTCTTTGGGACTTGGCATATTTTAGAAATGAGCATATCAGAATTAGATGTTATTATTATCATTAGTATTACTTTTGTGTATATTACTGTAAATAGATGTTTATTTTCCATGTTGAACAGGTATATTGCAATTATGTTTTTCCAAACTTGTTTCTAGAAGTGACTCTAACATTTTGGTTGTTTATTCTTCAAGTAGTGTGAGTTGTTATTTTATTAGTTGAGTTACATAAGTTTATTTTAAAGTGCAAAATCACAAGGCTATGTGTTATGTCTTGAAAGGAAACTTGAAGCCTGTTCCAAGAATCTACATGTGTACAAACCACTGCTAGCAATCATGTCCCCAGAGCTACACTCCTTGTGGAATACACCAGGATCGTTGCAGAATATTGTTGGGTTGAACTAAAGTATCAAACACATGCATTGTTACAGTTTGATGTGTAAAATTTGGCCCTGTTTTGTTTTTATGATTGATTTGTATCTACTTGCTGCTAACTGTCAACTGTTTAACACCACTATGGAGCAGACTGCGTGGCAGGCATTGGTCCCAAGACAAGAGTACCCAACGACTGTTTTCTGTAAAATATCTGTTCGGAGAAGCAAATTTTGGCTAGAATTTTCTATTACTCGAGGATGGCTAAAAATTTCTAGACGACCACTACATTCATGTACAATTTTCGTAGCTCAACTAACAAATTTCCTAATTTTCACATTTCACTCCCCAGGTTAGGTTATTTTTCCTAGAAAAAAAGAAACCTAAAATTTTCTGATTCAAAACTGACTGTGATGGAAAGAGGCATCAGAAAAATTCTCTCCTTCATAATACGTTAAATTACAACTAATAATTATTTTCGTGAATACTCAAGACAAACAAATTCCCATAGGATGCAGGAAGAGATACAAATTTTATAGCACTGCTTAGAATGCATTTCTAGACATCTAAAAGTACTCTGCATAGCCTAAAAAGTGTTTACAATGTATTTACATGCAGGAGGAAACCGTCGTTGGGTGCCCCTGACAAGGTGATGTAGGGCACATACTCACCACTTTGGTGACCAAATTGTCCCTTTCCTTTTCCCTCTTTAATATATGCCTGCCACTCAGGCTATGAGAGTTGCTGCATGATGACCTAAATAATGGTTAAGTAGATCCTATTATATTGAATAACAAGAAACAGGAAATACGAATATAAAATTGACGTTTTTATTTATATTTACAAAATGCAAATTCAAAATGCTGCACAAATTTATTCTTTATGATATCCCTAACCTATTCAGTAAATTGTATGTTTTTTAGTAAATTTTTTTGTCGTTAATAAAATGATATGAATTTTGTTTCTGCTTTTTTTCGTGTCCTTTTTTTTTCTTTTTTGTTGTCATTTGCTGTCATTTTTTTTCACACAATTTGCATCAAAATGCAAATGTATTGCTTATTATACTCCTGAAAATTTACACAAAAAAGAGGTTTTTTGGCAGAATGGTCCATTTTAGTTGTTTCATCTAACTTTGACTCATGAAATTGCTTTTGTGTATCCGAAAAGCCACGATAGTTATACGGTTTGTTAGAACAAAAAATGTTGAATTTTTGGCCGAGGCTCAGTTCATGCTTACTGTATCCCATAATGGTAATCCAGTCATATATAATGTTTAGAGATAAAATACCTGTACAGAAAAAATTGAATAATTTATTAAATCAACATGTTAACGTGAAAGTTAGATAGCAGAGAGCGGGAGAAAAATTCACGAAGAAAAAAAACCGAGGGGAGACCCCCCCCCCCCCCCCCCCCCCCCCCCAGGGGGGCCCCCCCCCCCCCCCCCCCGTTTTCCCGGTGTACAACTTAACTCGCTTCACACTTGCCGCCGCGCTCTACTATCTGAACGCCTGGAACAGGCTAGAAAGTTACGAGCAGGTTGGCAACATTCGCCATAAGTATCGTAGTCAATATATGCTTGGGGTACTTGGGTTAATTTTTGATGGCTTTGTGCCGCTGGCCTATCAGAGCCCCTACCCCATTATAGTCTATTTTGTGGCCAGTTACAGACCCCATCTCAGTCACTTTTGGGCAAATATGTAATTTTCGGGATCCCAACTTAGTTACTTTCTATTTTTATTAATTGACCCATTTTTTGATATGAGGAAAACTCAAACATTCTGGTACGTTTACTAACCGTAAATATGAAGAACTGTCTTACCCTAAAAAACCCGAAAATTTGAAACCCCATTGTAGTAAATCTGTTGAAAATGTGACCCCTTTATAGTCAATCCAATCGTGAAAATGCGACCCCATCCAGCGGTACATCCCCATTAAACCCATTTATAAGGAAGTACCCTCCCCCCTGGGGGTTAAAAAGTACTTGATTTCCTTAGTTCTTGAACATTCCTTGAAATTCACAACTTTGACTACGCCAGACATTTTTTATATATAATTAGATCATTTTGCCGAGGAGAGTTTAGCTCATCCTCGGTGAGAAAAAACATTTTTGGGCATGAACGCCAATTTATTAAATAATTGTTGTAATTTGTCCTTGAAAAATCCTTGAAAAGTTCTTGAAATTTGTTTGTCTGAAGTTGTGCAGACCATGGTTACAGATTGCAGTACTGTTTGCTGTACAAAAACTTGCACGATTCCGCATTTCCCGTGTAAACCAAAGGCGCATCCGTGCAAGTTTACCGCTTGTCCGGACCCGCATAAACCACACGTAACCCAAGCTCGAAATATGAGCATCGGCGAGCATCAGCATTGTCTTGTTGCGTACCATTCTAGTTATAAGGATTGATGAGGAAAAAACCTATCGTTTCTGTAACCTAGGAAAATGAAAGGATTTCAATAAACTTGTTGTTGTTGTTGTTGTAAAATGTGTGTTACATCTCCCCTGTGCGGTCAATGGGCCGATTTATACTGTAAACGCTTTTCTCTCTCCATATATACGTGTATAGAGGGAGAAAACCATTTAAAACGCCATAAATCGGCCCATGGACCACATAGGAGAGATTTAACACACATTTTATGTAAGGTAACTGAGCTGTTTTTTATTGAAATCCTTTCATTTTCGTAGGTTACAGAAACGATAGGTTTTTTTCCCCAAACAAATCTTTATATTTAGAATGTTACGCAACAATCCCGATGCTCGCCGATGCTCATATTTCGACCTTAAACAGGGTCTAATTTTCACAGAATGATTACTGAAAATAATCCCGCAGGTGTCACAAAAGCCAGGAATGTGCTACTGACACGATCATGGCACGCAAATATCACGTGCAGAAGGTTTTAGGACCTTCAGGGACCCTGTTTAACAGGTTTAAGACGAACTGGAAAGTCCGTTCATACCCCGGGGGGGGGGGGTACTCTCATACATTACCTATACGGGTATGTGCCGCCCAACGGGGTCGTGATTTTTGAAGCTCCTGATTTAGAACGGGGTATCCATTTCAGAGGCGTTTTCTAGAACGGGGTATAAAAAATTGTGGATCACGGCTTTATCTTCTGCTTAAAATTATTAGTCATTATGAAGAAGCATTTATTTGATATATAAGTCGAACAAATAAAGAAATATCTTTTTAAAAAAACAGGGGTATTTCAATTTACAAACTTTCTAGAACGGAGTATAAAAAATCGGCCCATTTCTAGAACGGGGTATAAGTTTTAGGGCGAATACTAGAACGGGTTATAAAAAATTGGCCCATTTCTAGAACGGGGTATCAATTTTAGGGAAAATTTTTTTTAGAATGGGGTGCCAATTTGGAGTCCCGGGCGGCACATACCCACCCAAAAAATACCCAAGTGCCCCT